AGACCGAGTTGACATTGCCATGTTCGTAGTGTTAACGGAGAGATGACTGCTTGTGGAATCATGGCTTGTATCTTGACCCAATGATCTTCTGGGACCACAATTCGATTCTGTGTTGTGATCATTCTTATTCCCAGCAATTGAAGATCTTGTTTGATTCTAACTCCAACTTCATCAGGTTCACTAGCCATCCTAGTTGAGTGAGCAACTTATTTGTGAAGTTCAGCTGCTGTCTGACTTGATTGGCACTTTGAAGAACCTGTATGTCGTCGTCCAGATAACCGGCACTGCGTAGACCTTGATGCTGCAGATAGGTGCCGATAGGTTTGGTTATTCGTATGACGATATTCCAAAAGGTAGGACGTTCCATTGGAAGTGCAAACCTCTGATTGCAGTGATGATACATCATACTTCCCCTTATATACGCAGGCGATCTGTGTTGATCAGCATACATCAAAGCGTTGTCTATTTATAGCAAGGCTGGCTCCAGTGTAGCATCCCAGGGGACAGGTACTCGTACCGACTTTTATCATCGACAACTCCCAAAATAAACATTGTTTATCCTGCTGTCAAGGCTAGACATCTATTAGATACCCATGATGATAACAGGCCGTAGTTGTATACTGTTTCCAAGGCTGCCGATGAAGTATTCCCCCGTATCACGGGTTTGCTTACAAATCAGAAAACATGCTGGAGCCTGCTCTGTCAGTGGGAGGCGCTGTCACCGGTGTTGTAGCAAGTTGGCCTCCATAAAATCTGATGCAATTAGTTGGTTGAGTAAAACCGCGCATTATTCTACGCCCTTCATATAAACCTCTTGAATAAGGGTTGCTCCAAGTGTAAAATCTTGTTCGGTGATATAAATCACGTATTCCCATTGTGGATAATATAAGCAAGCAAGACGAAGGAGGCTGTCGAGACGTATGTCTGTATGGATCTTGAAGAAATACCGAGGTTGAATCCAGTTGATAGGATATAAAATCCTAATCCCCACGCTGAGTGACGAGTGTTAATAATATCATCTGTACGTCCATTCAAGGATACTTGAAGGCGTTGTTAACCTTAAGCCCTCTCCAGTCTCTGTTGGGTTGGAGTGAGTGAGTGAACGACAATATCCGCAGGCCATCTGCTACCCGGTATAAGACTTCAGCATCCGTATAGATGAAGTGATTCCTTTCATCAAGTAGGTTGTCGTCCAAAACTGAACCTATACAGGTATAAGGTTTGTGCAGGTTGTAGAGTTGTGCAGGCTGTAAACTGTAGAGATCGCACATGTTATAGATCTTTTTATTGAGTTTTAAACTCTGACAAAACCATCCGTTTTCATCATTGCTTCGTTTTATTCAGCCGTATGGTAATAGAGTCAACGTCAACATCCTGCCTGTTGATGTAAGGGTTTGTTAACCCTAGGGTTCGCGAACCCTGTAGATGTCTGCGTTGCTGTTATCTGCCTGTAGATCTGAGAGCTCTTGAACCTTGTAGTGTCTGTAGCTTTCTCAAAGCTGTGCGTAGGTTAGAAGGTATATGTTGGATATAGGTTCAATCGGAGGAATAGTCACCGAGTTAAAGTCGTCATTACGCATCTTATAAGTGTAGACTTCATCTATATCCTTAGAAGGAGACTCCAAGTTCAACCATTGGCTATCCAATCTGTAACCTCTGAGTCCGGGAAGACGAAGTCTGGTTATTCATCAGTTATCTCCTGATCGGTGTATCCCTTCTCGAACCTCCATCATCCTTTCGCGAACTGAAGATTACTCCCTTCGCGAACGTCTATCTTGAGAGTCCTTTCTTCGCGAACCTCTATCTGTGGATTCATCTCTTCGCGAACCACTGTGATGTGAGCTTTCTCTTCGCGAACGTCTGTTGCTAGATGTATCCTTTCATGAACCTCTGTGATGTGAGCTTTCTCTTCGCGAACGTCTGTCGCTAGATGTATCCCTTCGCTAACGTCTGTGAAGTGAGCCTTCTCTTCGCGAACCATGAGAGATATGAGATCTCGATCTAGAGCGGCTAGGTGTAGGAGATGGATCCTACGATGTTCTCAAACGTTGAGGGTTCGCAGATGTAGAATGATGAGTAGGCATCTCATGTCTTCTATCCTCCTCCAAGATGACAGAGGCGTCCGACGTTCGCCAACGTAGTCTTGAGACGTAGTTGTCTGAAGAGTAGGTTCTCGCAGGTCCGTAGGTTTGCGTACGATGTCAGTAGATGAGAGGCTTCGACGAGCCTTCGCTTCTTCCTCGAACCTACGTTCCATCATGGCCATCATCTGGTTGGTGAATTGTCTCATAATTTCACCCAGATCAAGTTCTGCGTTGATTGAAGCTGCTGCGGTATAGAGAGGTTGGTGGTAGTTCGTCAAACAGCTGGCCTGCTGTGACCGTTGCAGGAGATGATCTAGTAGTCGTGGAAGTCGATTGAGTCGCCGATCTCATAGGTACTTCGGGTAGAAGTAACGGGGGATCATCAAAAAACGTCTACTTCATGCGGAGGTAATATCTCTTCGCTGAAGGATTTCTGATGCGTTGACTTACTAGGCCGCGTAGATTTTCCCTCCGAACTGGTAACAGATGCTTTCTTCTGCGACGTTGAAGAAGACGACGTCTTTTTCTTAGCTTGAGTCGGAGACAACTGCATTGTAGCCAATCTCTTCTTGGCCCCCGTACCAGCAGACTGCCCCTGCAACGTACACAACATAGCAACAGTATTATGAATTTAAGCAGTAGCAAACAACATACGGTTTGCAGGCTGATCTCCTGTTACATCAGCCGTAACTTGAGATGAATTCCTCACCCGAACCATGGCACGTCTCGAGATATAAGACAAATATTAATTAAATTGTAGATTTGATAAATCAACACAATAAGTACAGCGCAAGGTGGAAGAATATGGTTTTATGCACGAAAGGCATTGGGGGTGAGGATCAGCCACGGATAACCTGTGCCTGCAAACACTGCAAGATTTCATGAAATGTAAACAAAGTTACATAACGATTAAATTATGACACAAACAAATAATTTCTTTACATATAATACATAGTAGTTATTGCCAAATCTATACACAGCGTAATTTTGAAGAATAGTACCTAAATAAAAAGGATATAATGCCGTATACGGGACTCCAGTGCTTGCCCAACCATCCACTTGGGCGAAAAGGGAGAGAGTGGCAAGTAAAGCTGGTCACATGACTGTTTACGCGGGAAAAGGGAGGTAACTCGTGGGTGAGTGTATTTTTACGTCCGCTTCGGGAACTTCAAGGGATTCAAGTGTTCCACTACCATTCGCAAGAAAAAGGAGATAAGCAAAAGATCATGAGTCAGGACAAGTAAAAATCACACTTTTAGGAAGAAGGTACCATTAGGATCTCAACTGGTTATGGACAGTCGACAGTGAAGAGGACTTTGAAATATAATATAGCATGATGACAGCTGAAATACACGATTTATGGCAATGATGTCATACAGGTTACAAAAGCAGATTTGACCAACAGCAAGTCTCATACGCAGCACAAGTATATCCTGTCAGTGACAACATAACTTTTTCCAAAGAACCTTCTACACTTCTGTGACAGCAAGCATATATAATAACAATAACAAAATACCATAGGCTTTATACAGGTGTGTGTTCACCAGTCTAATTGGATGAAAAGCATTGTTGAATGGGACTGAATTCAGAAATCTTTTCAGTGTATGTGAATACTTTTCTTGTTTAATATCTTCTTCTGTTAAATACAAACTTTAAAGAAATCCTGCCCTTCTGCTTGACAAAATGCTAATTAAAGTTGTGGTAATGTGATGTCATCCATGGCATGTGTACTGATGTTGCATTATTTCAGGGTGATATCAGGTCTGTCTCACATCTGTGTCAGTTCACATTCACAGAATATACAAAATTATTGATGAATTGGTACTTTACAATGTCAATAACCAGATATAGGTTTCAAACAAAATTCCACATCATCAAATATTCAGTAACACCTGCAAATCTGGAAATACAAAATATTTCCCCCCAAGATATACCCAATGAGTTTGTAAAACACATCAGGGGACATGGTCATCAACATATATCAAGCTAGATTCCTGCTATATTACTTTGTTACCAAGGCATATCAGTTGACAGACAGATTAAGGTACTGTACATGTCTTTCATCTCATTTGTTTCATTTCATATCTTGTCCTAATGTTTTCAGTCTGAATGGAACTACACCCTTTCCATGCAAGTTATGTCCATGTTTCATGTAACAGTATAGACATTCAGTGTTTGTGTCCATGATGTTCTGAAAGTTTGGTACTGATACTAATTGTAAACCAAACGTCACTGTATTCTTTAATCTGATTGGTTCAAAAACGTGATCGAATGGTATTCGATTCCCGGAAATTCGCTGCGTATTTATACCTACAAACATCGCACACACCACTGTATTAAATCTTTGAAGGGCATTTAGAAGTGGAATACATAGGAAAAGCAAGATTTTATGGATGTCAACTTCTTTATTGTGAATAACACAACGTTTCGGAGTGTATGCTTGCTCCTTCATCAGGTGAACATATGAGGGCAATTGAACCTGGATCTCAGCATTCACCTGATGAAGGAGCAAGCATACGCTCCGAAACGTTGTGTTATTCACAATAAAGAAGTTGACATCCATAAAATCTTGCTTTTCCCACCACTGTATTGTTACATGGTCAACTGTGATGACGTCATTCAAATCATATTGTGACGAAAAGTCCGAATGACATCACAAATGAGCAGTTCTAGATGCTACCATGGGAGACAGCCGAAACGGGCGGCTGATGACATTTCACTGCTGTACCCGTACACGATGTCAATGAGTGCTGACACAAAAAACGTGTGTGGACCTGTTGGTTTACTTTTGCGTTTAAAATGTCGATAAACATCATTTTCACGTGTTATTGAGTATTTGAAGCACGGGAATTTATTTGGAACCGACAGCGTTATCTCCTAATTCTATCCAGACAAGAATGAAGTAATAATACATACCTATTGCCTCCTCTGGTACAAGATCCACTTGGTCTGTGTATAGGTACTGAAGGAAGGCACGGTACACACTGTATGGATACTGGGTGATCTCTATGGTGCTGAAAGTATGAAATACATGACTTTAGCGATATAACTAAACAAGTAAATAAACAAGGACAGGTTGCTGCTTTTTTCTGAAAAATCATTTAAAATGAACAACAAATGTTAATTAATCATACACTGAAAAAAGAATAAATTGAGTGAGTACCGGTAGGTTGTTATGCCTTTTTAAAGCAATATTACTACAATATAATGGCAAGAAATAGGCCTCACACACTGAACATATGAGGGCAATTGAACCTGGATCTCAGTGTGACAAGCAATGAGTGAGGTTGTGTCCAGTAGCACAATGTATTATGAACTAGTAGGGTAACTGCATCTTCTTATAAAGATATAAAAATAATATATCTTAATATAGAGCATGTTACGTCAGTAGGGTGGGGGAGTCTGTCTCAAGACTAAAAGCTACATCACACGCTTTAAGGTAGCAGTTTCAATAAGGATGGCTGTACCTAAACATGAGCAAGATGAGGGTTTTGAGGCCTTCTTTCTATGATCTGACAACTGACTTTTGCCCTTCACAGGCAGGTTACCTATCAGAAACCATTTATTGTTAAAAATTCATGAATGAAGCTCATTCATGAGTGCACTGACTCTTGTAATAGGGCTGATTGTGACTGCTGCTGCTGCTGCTGCTATCATGACTCATTGCACTAACCTTTATGATTACAAATCTAATCCTGTGTATTACAACATATTTTGTAGATAGTTCATAACCACAAAAGATCAATAAACTAATTTCACAATCTAGTTATGTACCTTTGCATTTCAATTTGGGACTTATCAAACAAAATATATGACTGATGAATAATGTACAACAGCATAGTAAATTGGCTAATGTTTACAGCACAATATGTCCTGCAATTAATGTGTGATAAAGTACCATAGCAGCCACTTTGAAACACCTATCTAGGCCTATTGGTGTGAAGTTTCAGCTTTTGCCTGGCCAGTGGTTTCTGGAGCCTAGATCTCTACACTGCTGACACGATAACCAACAGATCATGAAACTGGACATTTTCAATATGTGGTGGTCCTACAGCTTGGATCAGGTTTGCCAAGTGTAATCTTAATATCAGACCTTGCAGTTATAGAAATGTTGAAAATGTAAAATTTATACATTGCCACTCTGTAAGCTTTCTTGAACAAGTAGTAGGTTAGATTGGGTTTTTTAACCATCAGAAATCTATTCCAGTGAACAATTTCAGATTGTTGGTAGTTGATAGTTCGGTTGAATTGACATAATATATCCAGTAACAATGAGATTGTGAGAACAAACATTCACTGATTTCATATACTTCATCCCAGACAGACATGTATTTGAAGGAAAGAACTCACTCTTTACCATCTTCCTCCCAGCACGACTGGAACATGGAGCGGAAGTATTCACATCTGCAAATGCACAACTAGCTTGTGAGAGGTAACAAAAGCACCATCTATGAACACTGGTAAACACATCAAAAAGGCTGAAGACTTTAACTTTGTGAAGAAATCTGACACTATGCACACAAAAAAATGAATGCATGACTAATTTTGCTTCCAATTTGTAATTTCAAACCAAGGACAAGGTAAGGGAAAGGTCTTTTTTTGCTCCTACAATCTGCTTCATTCAAAAAACAAGGAAAGCTTTAAGAAATTGTTGTGAAAGTTAAAATATATGTTCTGATGAATGTGAGCTAGACTGTTCATCTCAATGAAACTTAGTAAACTCTAAATATTTTTTTTATATTTGTAGATTTATCCTGCATTACTCTTAATTGCCTTTTTATTGACAGAATGAACGAAGCTGTGAAAGGTCCAACTGAAAAAGAAGTTGTTCAAACCAGTTGTGACGCTTCACAGCTTATGTGAATGGAATTGATGATATCACACATCTTCACGTTACTCTTTGAAGAACATCTGAAGACATTGTGGGAAGGCAACAGGAGGGCCCTTAGATGTAGTAATGCAGGATAAGTATACAGATATAAGAAATATTATCTTGCATTACTCCTCAATGCATCTAAATCGACAGCACAGTGGCAGTCACACATTCTGAATAGATTTTTCCACAATTCCCTCTAACATGTGTCGGGGTGGTGGAGTAGCCTAGTGGTTAAAGCGTTGGCTCGTCACGCCGAAGACCCGGGTTCGAATCCCCACAAGGGTACAATGTGTGAAACCCATTTCTGGTGTTCCCCGCCGTGATGTTGCTGGAATATTGCTAAAAGTGGCGTAAAACCAAACTCAGTCAGTCAGTCTAACATGTGTCAAAAACTGGCAGCACCATCTTGAGATGATCACCAACATGAGACAACTACGAAGGGGTTAATTATTGGGGACCTGATTGTGCAATGTCCAAGGAGCCAAAACAATGTACACCTTCTATGTCTTTCAATGCTGTGTGTGGCTGGTGGCGAACAGATCTATGTTTGGACGATTGGTATGACAACAAATCAGATTGAAAGCTTCTGGATGAAGTTTATACTCTGTGGGGCTAGTTTGTCTGGATGGGAAAGTGTGTTTTTAGAATGTTTCTGAAACCTGGGATCTGTTGAACCTGAATTTGTAGGTTCAGACTGTCCACTTGGATAAAGAACCGAAATGTCTTCTGAAGTAGAGATGTGGAGTCAGTGGCTCCCTGATTTTGAAGATGCCAAACTACTGTAACAAGAAGACAGTCATCAATATCCCCAGTAATGGCAAAATACTCTTCATGAATACGTCTACGAGTTACTATGTCAAATGTTTTGGCGTGTATATAACTAAGTGGAAGGAGAGTACTGAAAGGTTTCAAAGTTCTGCACCAGAAAGGAGCACTACCACCAAATTCAGTTGGGGGTGAGGGTGGGCGAGCTGTCTAAGGAGCCAGGCTAGTAATCCAGCGAGCTTGGAGGTGCCGGGATCGATCCCACCTGTGACCGGCTGTAAAAAAACCTTGGAGTCAACTTTGTGTGCAGACTCTTTCAGTGTTGTCACAACCCCTAGCGTACAGTACACAACCCTGTGCACTTAAAAGAACCCACGAATCCGCTGGTAGATGACCAGATGGTGGCCACATGAATACGTGCAAACACCTAGTTGCGGGTACAGCAACGTGCAGTAAATGTAAACGCGAAAAAGAATAATTTTATTCAGAAATCCAAAACTACCTAAAGGCACCAGTTCACCACTAGACCTACCTATGTATGAAATTTGGTGATGAAACAGGGAACAGTTTTGAAGTTCTGACTTGATCCAGTAATTTCTATGGTCAGGCTTGGTTAGTAGCCGGTGCAACAGCTTCTCGCCAGAACTTTGGTAGTTGTTGCTCTGGAAAGCCCAAACCTGCAACTGTGCCTTGAGCGGCCTGTAGCCGATCTGACATCCGTGGATGTAGATGTTGGAGACATATGGGTCTTGTAGAATTCCCCAGTCCTCCCAGTGCAGTTGAAGGCGCCCACCATCTTGTGATGGTTGGTACTGAACGGCTAGTGGAAGGCTCCAGTCGTCTTAACCGGCCTTTCATCGCGAGTAATTAAGGGAACCTCTGGGTGTGCCCTGCCTCTTCCAGATCCTCCTCTGTAGTTGCCATATGGAAGCAAACTTTCCTCCTTGGAAAAAATTCCCGTCCCATGCTTCTGTGCTCAGTAAATCCAGATCTTCCTGAATATCTCTGTGATGTTCGCCTGATGACGCCAGCTGTCCATCGACTTTTATCATAAGGGGAAATCCTTGGTGACTTCTTTAGAGACTTTATTCATTCCTCCATCGAAGATAGATGGCTAAGACCACGGGCTGTGTAGAGTGGAGATGTAAACCGTTCACCCCAACTACAGGAAGTGAGGAGACTCACCAAATGCCGGAGTTAGCGGCCATGGAGACAGTTAAGAACGTCACTTGGACAAAGTACTGTGACTGTGTGTCCCAGTCCACCCAGCTGTGAATGGGTACATCGTAAGGATGGAAAGCCACATTAACTTCGGTGCGCCTAGTAGGCAGCAAGAGTTGATATATACCCCAAGGGAGTTGAGATTGAAAATGGGCGACCACGCGCACCTGTGACGATGTGCCATTGTGATGGACATTCAATGATCGAGGAAAACAAAGCCTTTGAGCAGTTGTACTGGATATCGTCCTATACAAAGTGTTGTCATCGGAGTGTATACAAATGTTTGTATGTATGTATGTATGATGTATGTATGTATCCGCGGCGATGTATGTATGTAAGCCAAAATTGTTGCCATGGAAGCGTGGCGTAAAAGAATAATTTTATTCAGAAATCCAAAACTACCTAAAGGCACCAGTTCACCACTAGACCTACTCTGGAAAAGAGCACTACCACCAATTTCAGTCAAAGTAAAACGCCAAAAATATTTTATTCAGAAATGCAAAACTACCAAAAGGCACCAGTAGACCACCAGATCTATCTATGTACCAAGTTTGGTGATGAAATATTGAACGGTTTTAGAGTTATGCTCCGGAAAACACAAATGTGCACGGACGCACAGACAGAGTGCATTTTAATATCCCCCGCAAAACGCGTTGAGGGGGATAATAAGGTCAGCGAAAATGGCTAGTTCCGCACCTTTCAGGTTTTCTTGCCACTGAGTGACTGCTAGAATTAAAGATTCTGATTCTCGATTGTAGATGTGCAAATCTTGTTGCTCGTCCGACCTCGTCTGGACTTCCAAATAAGCACCCCATCCCTTGCATGATGAGTCTATGAATAGGAGGAGAGTTTGATTCTCTGTTAAGGAGACTCCAGAACAGACGTTCGATTGTACCCTCCATCACAAGAGATGTGATCTGAGATGGTTCAGTAGACTGAGGGAGACATCTGGGTCCTGATGCTGTATAAACTGAGTCAAAATTGTCGGATCTGACATAGCTGGAGGCTGCCCCTGCTTGTCAGAACCAGTGCAGAAGTTGATTAACCCATGAGAACCTGCCATTGGCTGAGCTTTGTCATTGAGAGCCAGAAGTAGATGGTGCTTGATTTTAAGCCAAGGACAGAGTTCTGATTGTTGACTAGCTAACCCAAATGGTTGAAAAGGCACATGTGAATTCCCTGGGAGTTGTTATTGTCTCCGGTTCTAAATGATTCATGAGGCAATCATTGATATAAGAATCAAAGCTGAAGCCCTTCAGGTGGAGAAAGGTTGCTTTTTGGTTGGTAGTTTAAGTGAAAGGACATAGGGCCAGAGAAATTCCAAACAGCAGGACTGCCCATTGACAGTGGATACCGTGGATTTAGAAAAAAATTAGTATTTGCAGATAAGGTCGAGGCTTTATCAGGGCACTGTGTTCCTGAATTCGACACCTGAGAAGCTTCAAAGTCATAAGGTGGAAGTTAGCACAATTGTTAAAATGGGTAGATTGTGGATCATCCTTATCTTGGTTGAGTTCTTTTTGGGACAAGGAAGATTGGAGAGTAGAAGCCTGGTGTTAACCCTGGGGCATGTACAATCTCAATAGCATTTATGTTTAGTTGGGTGGGGATATTGTCTCCAAGAATTTGATGTTGTTTGTTTGGATAGACCCAAGCCAGTGGGTCGTTGTCCGAGAAGGGTCTGCTGATATTGTGGTCAGTACCTGTGGTGAAGTATGTGTCTGCCATATTGGTCCAGTTCCACCAAATATGCCTTGTCTCCCAACTACTGGAGTATAATGACAATTATTATGGATATACAATTGAATTCTTTTATTCTGTGGAGGCGACGTTTCGACATAGGTTCTAATGTCGTTGTCAGGCAAGCAAGTTGTATATCCATAATAACTGTCATTATTCTTCATCAACTACTGGAGTGTCAACAACTGGAATTGACATAGAAGTCCCACCTCTAACTCAGCCTCTTCTCCAAAAGGCTTGACCCTTCAAAGACTGACAATGGGGTCTATAGTTGCCCATCTTGGAGGATCATAAGGAAAGTGACTGAAAGACGTGTTCCAAATCCTTCAGGATATCTCAATGCAAGCATAAGCTGATATTTGAGTTTCCAAAATCTTTCCATTGAACAAAGATGAAAATGACCATGTTCGATGAAGAAGAATAGGCACAGTTGGATTAATATGGATAGTCCAAATGTCACTTGGTCAGTTATTTCCACCAAAGCTGTGTACAAATGAATCAACATGTTGCTGCAAGAAGATGGAGGATGGTTGCAGAGTTGAGACAGTCTGAGCCACCGACAGCATGGGAGGCTAGTGTGATACATACAACTCATGTACATACAACCCTAACTGTGGATTCTGTAGGAGCTAGGTGTGGATGACTCCAGGTTCTTGTCTTGTCACTTGTAATGTGTGCAAACCTCTTTCTGGAAAACTTGTACTTGAAAGATGGGCAAAAATGTGGCACTTGGAGTTAAGTAAATGAATTCCGATGCAGTCAAGGCAATGTGGATGAGTATCATGTAGAGATTTCTTTGAACTGATCCTTATGCAAAAGGAGTCTCTAATTTAAGCAGATATTGCAGAACATTTAAAAAAACATAAGAAATAAATAGAGTGTTGTCAAATATTTACTTGAGATCAAAGGTGATCAAACACTTGAAAAGCTGTAAAAAGGTTTAAGAAATGAACTAAACACAAACAACAAACCATACAAAGGAAGATTTTCGTGAATCTTCATGTACAGGAAACACATACAAAATCCCAGACAGCTGCAGGAACAAATATACAGGATAAAACATGGAAACTCAAACCAGTTCTTTGAAGAATAAATATGAAATGAACAGAGGAAACACAAAACAGGAGGGACTTATTAAAATTGCTGGATCGGCACTTTATTTAGTCTGCTCAATATGGTGACTAGCAGTAATGTGAATATGTGTGATGTCATCACTTCTGGTCACATGAGGTTTGAAGTGCCCTGCTAGTTGAAACAACTTGTTTTGTAGCTGGACCTCTAACTACTTCATTCTTTCACTTTGATAAAGCAGTAAATGCAATAAGGAGCAAAGCATGTCAGTTAAAGAATTACCGGTATATGTATGGCTAACAAAATGACTGATTTTAGAGTCAAGAAGAGTTTCTGTAATAGATTTCTTAATAATAATGTTGATGACTTTTGCACACATCAATCCTGTTATGGTGAGAGCATAATGGAACTAATTGTTCTGAGCAAAATGCCCAAAATGAATGCTCACCATGATGGGTTGATCAATGTCTATTGTAATAACATATCAAGCAGTAATTATTCACATGATGTTTCCACTTTCACTGAAATGAATCGAATATTTGGATGAATTTTTATCCTCTTGAAACAAACATGGTGAGAACAAACAAATTGCAGCTTCATCGTAAGTAGATTTCTAATGAGAAGAAATTAAATGATGATGCAAAGGCCAGACAACAAAACAAGCATGCAATGACAAAAACTCCATTGATTTTACACAGAAGTGCTGGGAATACTAACCTTATCTTGAGAATGGACTTATGTACATGGATTTCTCTGTCTTCAACGACAAACTTCAAATCGGCAGTCACCTGAAATCATTTAACATTCACTATTCAATATACAATCATCACGTAATTCAAGTGAAAAATGAAGTATCCCAACACCTATGATTTTTAACACCCATATAGCCATTTACATTCCCATCAGAACTGTGTTTGTTTGTATGATTCTTTTTACCCTTGGTACACCACACATTGATTTTGCTATGATCAAAGGCAGGCATCAGTAAGGAAATATCAAGTTTCAGTAAACTGTTCTCACAGCTAAATGACTTATTGGTACACCATTATTATTATAATTTTGTTGCTAATAAGCAACTGACAACTGAACAAAGAGGAATGCTGGCATGTCATTTAACCCCCTTGATGCCGAGGTTTTTTTTCAGGCGCACATTTTCATACGGTTTGAAAAGTAAAGGTTGTGTGAGAATTGCGCTTCCGGATGGTCCTGGATCTACGTACGGCTATAAAATTACACAGAAATGTAGAATATTAAATTTCCTATCCGTTGGTATAAATATAAGTGCAACTACCTCGGCGGTTTGAGAAATAGACCTTTCTAAATGTTGTCCAAAGTTTGTTAAGCGTTAAAAAACAGTAAATTTATCCGCTTTTTATCGCGCACCGATAAAAGCACTGTGCTACGGATTTTTTAATGTGGCATCTTTACGGAAAGAAAATACAGCCTGATATCTGAATGACATAAGTGTATATGAATTGGGTTTATGTGCTTGTGCATAACGTTATACGCTCAACATTAAAAATGACTCGCAATAAATGTCAAAAATGGATTGTCTTCTATGACGTCAAACGACGACAGAGAGGTCCTACACGTATAATGATAAGGGGGCATAACTCTGTTATGCGTAACACTAGGTCAATGTTACTCAGATCACTTGGAGAGAATTTGTTGTGGATACGGATGCTATATTTTCGTTATTTTATGTTCATGGTGAACCAAACTATTCCAATTCAAAGTTCCCCAATGTGAGCGGATGCAGTTTGGTAGTTCACAATTTACAAGAAAAATGACAACGTATTACATGTGAAAGCATGTAATAGCGATTTGGATGGCCCTATCCGATATGTAAGTTAGTTCTTAGATTCCCATATTCTCTTGTTTGTGTAGATGTAATTTGACTAATTTTGCATCGTTGTATTACATGAATACAAGAAGTTGCTATCCATAAAATGTGTCATGTATTCATACCTATTTGTAGCAAATTGGAAATTTTTACTATAAATTGTATATTTATATACTTATCCTATCTCAGGGTATGAACTTCTCTCTCTTCTTCGACCAAGGCATGGAAACATGCTGTAGGCTAAGTTGAATCAAATCTTCTGGCCTCTGTCCCATCAGACCTCTCCCCCACTCCGATTGCTGGGCCTGTCAATCATCTCTGTAAAGCATGCTAAGCGCTCAGATGGTCACATGACATCCCACTACTGTCATTCTCGTCTTGGAGCTTCAAGTAATCTGTGATGCGGGGAAGGTCGGGTGGGAATCCATCGCGTGAGATAGGATAAGTATTGAATATACAATTATAGTTAAAATGTCCAAATTTTTAAACTGACAAGCAAAAGGACGCAGTTTGGCAAGTAGAACCCGCCTCCCCACGATTTGTCAGGAAGCCATCGGGAACCGATGTAATAGTCTGGAAAGAAGACTGAAGCAACGCACTGGGGTAGAACGTTGAACCATAAGGAAACGATGCTGTAACTGGAAGCGCGCACTGGATGTAAGCGTTGGAGCCATAAGAGAGCGAAAGGAAAGCAATGCTCTGGATACGAGCGGCGCACTGGCAGACAACATGGGAGTAAATGAAAGCGGTGCATTGGGACAAAGAAGCGCACTGGGCTGAAGCGTGACAGCATTGGTGTGAAGCGACGAGCCAAGTAGTATAGACGATGGTGGTGCGACCGTGCAAAGGAAAAATAGTAGTAAAATTAGGGGGAAAAAGAAGAAGAGGTGCACTCTTGCATTTGAGTATATAGAGACACTTTTTGTCTTCCTCGTTCTCTTCCCACCAACAATCGAACTAGTTTCTGCCTAGTTTGCCTAGTTTGTACCTAGTTTGTACCTAGTTTGCCTAGGTTCTGCCTAGTTTTCCATATAGACAATTGTGCGAATGCAGATATATAGTACACAAAATGCCTCCGAAAAGACAACTATCGCAAGACCAAATGGAAGGGATTCGCAAGATGCGTGGAAAAATCTCTGCACAAGAAACGAAACAACGATTTGGAATCGGTTCCAATCAACTACGCAAAATATGGAATACAGAAGATATGCAATTAGCTACAAAGCCCATTTCCACCTCCCCGCTCCAAATGCGGCCTCGCTCTCCAGCACAACCGTATTGCCTGCCGCAGAACCTTCGACCCTCTTGCCCGCCGGCGAGATAGCTCCAAATCCGATGTCGACCTCCAGCACAGCCGTATTGCCTGCCGCAGAACAGTCGACGTCGCCCACCGTCCAGGATTTCTACGACCGACTTGGGGAAGATCGAGGCCCGTGCGCAGAAAACCACGACGATGTTGTTCGCTTGTGTGGAGCAAACCGCGGCGATGTTGTCGGCTCGTGCGCAGCAAACAACAAATTTGTTGGTCGACATCTTGTCTAGGCTAGGACAACGGACGGAGGGCGAAAACGCCGAGGAGGAACAAGAAGAGACATGTCTGGACATCCGAAGGAGGAATGCTAGAATGGACCCAAAAGTGGACACATTTCCCTACCAAGCTGTGTTTCTCTGGAAGACCTGGACACACAGTAAACAGGCCCACATACTGGTCGATAGACAGGCCAGCGAGAAGACAGAAACAGCCAAACCAGTGTGCATGGTCCATCCCGGGTATCCCTTCTACATGCACTAGAAAAATATATGGTTTTTTTCGTATGTATGTTTGCATATTTTTGTTGGATTTTTTTGTTTTATCTTTTTTGGGGGGACTAGACAGAAGCTATACCCGCTTGGTCTCTGGGAACAGCAACTCGACTCCTCAAACGTCTTTCCTACTCGAAATGGGAGAGTGGCAGATTCTGCCATACTACACCGAAACGATCCACCCACCAACCGTAGGCGTTCGATTCCGCCGGCGTCTCAAACCGTTTCTCGTTTCTTGTAGCCGTAGACCGGAATAGTTTCTCCAGTCGACGATTCGAGTAGTAGCAACAATCTGTTCTTCCCTTCGTATTTGGCTACGGCAAACCTTTTTACATGTATAGATTAACTCCGGAACATCTGCCGCTTTTCAGTGTTCGTTGCACGGAGGGGCTGCCGCTTCCATAGCTTTGGGCCCGCCATAGTTGGGCAAGGAGGTATGTTAAATACTGCCCCTTGATGGGTCTGCTTTCGCTAGCTGCCGGAAGATACAAGAATCTTTCTCGCATGGACAATTGTCCACCAATTTGTCGAGGAGGCGTTTGTATTGCAGGCACCAGAAGAGGCAGTCACTGTTGTACAGGTTCTCTATGTTCGAGATACAGTAGGGGATCGCGATTTCTTCTGGAACCTCGAGTGGGAGAAGTCGCTCCGTGGGTGTGTAGTCTATCTCTTTGTTTTTCCAGAGAACACATTTTTTGCTGCTGACACAGTGGTCTGTGGCGCCGCACTTGCAAGTAGAGTTGTCCGGTTCGAATAGGGTGGGTAGTTCCTATATAGCGGTGAGGCAGTCGGTGCATCGGTTGTGTCTACCTTTTGTTTCCGGACAGTAGGCTAGAATGATTCACAGTTGGCCTGCTGCAGGTCGAAATTGGTCTTCTCTGAATTGGCGAAAGCACAGCAAATAGAGTTCAAGAAACTGTCGAGGGATCTGGTATCGCTCGTAGAAGGTGTGTCCCGATCGCTCTAAGATTTGTTTCTCTTTGTCGGAAAGCAAAACATGGGGACACTTCTCTAGCAGGGTCTCGAAGAACTCTGCCATGTCGGAAGTTGTCTTGGAGCTGCCCCGGATTCGCGTATATCTGGCTTGCGATATGTGGTACTTCCTCTTCACCTCCCGAAGGGACAAATGACCCGATCGGATCTCGGCATAGGCTTCGCGCGATAGCTTGGTTCCTGGCATTGTTCTATACCTATGTACCTGTATATCTCTAATTGGAGTGCACCTTCACCGATGGTTTTCCTTGGGGAAGCCCCTGTTTGGAAGAGGCGTAGAAACAACACGATCTAGGGGAGTGGGCCAAACCCCCATCGACATAGTGTTTTTTGTTTTCTCTTCACCTCTTCTTTTTTTTTTCTCTTATTTTACTACTATTTTTCCTTTGCATGGTTGTGCCACCATCATCTATAGTACTCAAGGTGTGGTCTGAAGCGCCGAACTGAATGAAAGCGCTGCATTGGAGTGAACGTTCTGCCTGTACATACACACTGCAGAAGCAGGAAGCGTAACCTCAACACCAAGCGGCACACCGGTAGAAAGTTGGAAGAATAGTTGATGGTAGAGTCGTAGCAGAAAAAGTCACTGTAGCCGACGGAGTTTGCGAACTAGCAAACAAAGTCATGTTGACAGCAGGCGTACACATCATCGTAAAAGGTGCCTGTGAGATGGTGACTAGGGTTGACGGCCTGGACTGAGATGGGGAGGTATGGAGTACCACCACCCAAGTGGGAGAATCCGACTGTCTCATAACTGAACTTGAAGTTTGTGGCCGAAACAAACGGCGCAGATTTTCACTAAGATACGAGTCAAAGGCTGCTTCCAAAAAATCTTCATCAGGCGATAGCAACTTAGAACAACGAGCTGCTTGCTTGTAGGGACGATCTTTCTTTGAATGTTTAGACAATGAGGGACCCTTGGAAGGCCTCCAACGGTCCCTGTCTGCCACTCGTTTTGAACGAATGTGACGATAAGCAGAAAAGGTGTCATCTAGATGAAAACAGTAGGAACGTCGGCGTGACCAATCACACCAAGAAAGAGAATGACAGTACTGGGATGTCATGTGACCATCTGATCGCTTAGCATGCTTTACAGAGATGATTGACAGGTCCAGCAATCAGAGTGGGGGAGAGGTCTGATGGGACAGAGGCCAGGAGATTTGATTCAACTTAGCCTACAGCATGTTTCCATGCCTTGGTCGAAGAAGACAGAGAAGTGCATACCGTGAGATAGGATAAGTTTAAAAATTATTACTATTCAAATGAGACCAGTGAGGTGTAAAAATGTAAATCACTTGACAGTTTGTGTATTGATGCAAGTTGTGTTACAAGGGCTTGTTTAGATGGCAAAATTGATGTGAATCAAATTGGTTTTCATTTATGAAATGTATATGCAGGCAAATTCAAAATAATCTCATCTGGAAGGATATACAAATACTCTCCAAATTATTATCTATGGCTGCAGCACTTTGAATAATTTGGCTGATTACCAAAGTGGTAGATTATCGATTGACTAACACTGAAAGAATCTGTCAGTTCTTAAATCTTGGTATGTTGACGTGTGTCCTTCATCAGTTTAACTGCATAAAGTAGTAAATACACACAATATACATAAGTGAGCAAACTATGACCATTTCCATCAATTGATTTGACATGAACGATTTCAACAGGTCTCTTTATTGGTCAAATAACCACACTTATAAGATGTCTACCATCTTTAGAATATGTAGTTTACTAGTTTCCTATTATATGAATTCTAAAACAAGTGCTCTGTTACACAAGTAAGGTAGAGAAGAAGGAAGATTAGAATACCAGCACTTTCACCATAGGCTAGCTAATGCAAATTTCTTCTGTACTTTGGAAATACTGATGGGAAGAATCAAAGAAGTGACTTAATGGTACAGATAAATACATTTCAAATGTTAGTAAAATCTAAATATTTTTTATATTTGTATACTTATCCTGCACTACTTACTTCCTGCACTTATTGCTTATGACTCGAAACGTGGCTGTGCCAGACGATTGATGTTGAAAAGCGTAGACTGCGATCACTTCCTGGTCTCTGGTAAACATCTGTCTGCGCACGCATCACCGGAAGGTGACGTCAGCCACCTCTGATTATTGCCGTAAATCCCACAGATGAATACAAAGAGGGGAGGTAGCTGAAAGCGCAGGGTTGGCCCTTATCATAAGTAGCGCAGGATAAGTATACAAATATAAAAAATATTTAGATTTTACTAAATTTTTAACTAATCCTGCACTACTTACTTCCTGCACATTTATCGGCAGGATGGAGGGCGTGTCATCTGCGGGGATTGCCTCACAAGGTAAACAAAGACAGCTCGGTCAATGTCATCAAGTGCGCCGCGGTGGTGGAAAAACCGGCCTGGCACCTTAAGAGGACAGCGGAGCGACGATCAGGCAGTGGTAATACGCATATATAAGACACGTAGTCTTAAATGGTATATACCACACGATTTTTAAAGCGTTATAAGCTTTAAGGAAATGCAGTAAAAAGCAGTGACTCGAGTTAGCGCAAGTGTTACTCCTTAACTGACAGACCCAGTTGTTCCAGAACAACTCTCTTCCCAGACGGCGTCGGCGTGCTTCATGGGAAGAAAAAGCATGGTTGAAGGTATCTTCGTTGCACCTGGAAGAATAGTCAACAAACAGTGACTATCTCTCAGTGGTAATTCGCATATAAGACAGGCAGGCTTAAATGGAAAGACCACGCAATTTTGAAAGCGAGATTAGCTTTAGGGAAATGCAGTAAAAAGTATTGATTGAGTTTTCCAAGTGTTACTCCTTAACTGACACACCCAGTTGTTTCCCTCGGAACAACTCTTTTCCAACACGGCGTCATCGTGCTTCGTGGGAAGATATATCATGAAGGAAGGCACCTTCGTGGAATCTGGAAGAATGGTCGGCAGAGAGGGATTATATCTCAGTTGCAATTCACACATACGCCATGTACGCTTAAATGGAATAAGACCACACAGCTTTAAAGCGTTATTAGCTTTAGGGAATGCAGTAAAAAGCATGGACTTGAATCTATTCAAGTGTGACTCCTTAACTGACATACCCAGTTGTTTTTCTCAAAACAACTCATTGCCCACACGACATCGTCGTGCTTCATGGCGAACAACAATGAGGTGATATCCGTCGGGAATTGGTGAGGTGCTGGTCTGGCACCAATGGTCTGAAGCGTTGGAGTAGTAGATATAATGATAGTCCGAGATCAAGTCCAACAAAAGCCTCTGTAAAGCTTTATTTCACAAATAAAGCTTTTGTTAGGCCCTTAGATCTCGCCACCATTGTATATACTGCTTTTGAACCCCAAGTTAACTTCCCGACCCCACGTGGCACAATAGTGTCGCTATGACCGTGAACTAGTACTTTCCTGATCATGTGACATGTCGTGTTGACAGGAAACAGTTGGTTACAGGATACTATTGGGATTACTTGGTAAGTGTTAAATATTTTGCTTAGGTGGCAACATTGTGCCGTACGGTATGATCACAAATTCCTCTCTAACGAAACCTCTCCCTGGCCCATCTCTCAAGTAGTACAAGTTCGGCTCGTCGCCTTTGATGTCCACTTTATCTATGTTATAAGTTTTGACTGACCATATCAGATCGGTGGCTCGTTTCCGAGTGTCCCCTTCGTGTTCCCCCGGCTGGTAGAGGTACCTCACGGGGGCCCTATCGGGTATCTGTTTCTCCTTCCCACACGATGGTGCAGACGACTCAGCCACTATTGATTTTAGTTTGATAGCGTCAGCTGGTTTCTTACCCGGTGAGGCGGGTGGTTTAAAGTGGTTGATGGCCGACACCACCTGAGGTAGCCAGCGCTACCCATTCAGGCTTATCGTTTCCCCGGTTGGCCATCTCTCGCATACTGATGCCCGAATAAAGCTCTGCCAAAGTCCAATTGAATCTCTCAACTATGGCGGCTGCGATGAGCCCGGCAGCGCCTACGCCTGACCTTGGTATCGTGTTTGTCTAGCAGTTGTGACCACGGCACCCATGAACTCCGATCGGGTCGACTTGCAGCTCTGTGGGCCCGCGTCAGCGGACTGCGTTTGTACATCGCGTTCGAATCCGCGGGCTGCCTGGGCCAAGTCTTTTCGCGGTCAAGGGTTCGGCTTCCTTGTAGCAACTGGCCACGTCCACTACGGTTAGGGCATACTTGTACCTCTTGTCGTGGGGTAGGAATAGGAGGTCGGCCTGGTGAAGCGGCTATTGGGTATGTTAATACCGAACTTCCTTCTAGGCAACGCGAAGCGTGGTACCGGTAAATAGATCTGCCACAGGGCTTGTTTTTCAAGCCACGCTTTGGCCTCGTTTGGGGGTACTCGCGCCATTTTAGCCAGCTTATGAACGGCGGTAGCTTCTTTCCAGTACCCACGCGGGCTGTAGTAAATAGCCTCAAACTTTCTCTGGTTCCGTGACATCGTTGTCACAGGGTATCATGTGTATATATACACCTATGTTCTTGGTTCAATTTTCTCATGCCCGTACGCGTACGTGTTGATCCCATCAATAGCTATCCAACGCTTAGTGTCCATCGGCAACAGGGACTTCTTGTTTATAGTCAGCCCGTATATCCTATGCCCGTTGCTTCTAAGCGTGTTCATTTTATGCCTAAAGGTACGGGTCTTGAACAGGGCTTCCTTGAATCTGGCGTGTTTGATGTGTTGTTTAACCACGTACTTCTTAACACCCTTCGCCTTCCGGATCTCACCATTGTCGGCCTTCAGGATGGAGTACATCTTGGGTCTCAAGCCTATGTACTCGGCTATGAGCGTGCCAGCACACTCGTCCTTCATCTTACCGAGGACCTTTTTATTTACCGTGCTGTGTATGGCATGGCCCTTGGGGTAGTCGCTGGCGTCGTACAAATCGAGGCGTTTCTTCATGTCCTCGTACACGTCCTCGGTTCGAATCTTCATCAGCAGGGAATCCATGTCAGTGTACAGCACTTCACACCTGTCGCCGCCGTCCTGTTTCTTCAGTTCATTGTAGTAAAAGTCGTACATCAGGTGTTTGGAGAAATCGAGGATGCTCATCCCCACGTAAACAGATCGGTTGAATTTGATGTGGCTTTTCTTCATGTGTAGGGCCACCAGGTCGTCGGTGAATATCTTGCTCCGGTTGAAGGCCGGGCTGGCTATCAGTCTCCTGAGCTTGTCATCCTCTTTTGACCAAACCAGCTTCACGGTCACGCGTTTCCTCAGGTTCTCCATCATCTTACCGAACACCGAGTTGTTCATGAGCTTGTAGAGGTTTTTCTCAAAGTCACTGGTGGCCAGCTTTCGCAGGTCTGTGTTCATTCTGATGTAGGGCTCCATCCAGGGGCTCTGGTTGAACACGAGCACCCTGTGTATTTTGGTCAGCCTCATACCCAACGACAGGTACAGCTGTAGGTTGCGATAGTGAACGATGTACTTGGTCTTATTCATTAAGTTGGGCACTAGTTTTTTCAACGTCTGACACCGCCCACCTAACAAGTTATGTTGGTACTCAGACATCCAGTCTGGGTTAACCCTCATACATTCGGGGCCAGGGGTAGCTGTTATTGTGATGATGTGTAATGCCTTGGGGTATTCCAAGTCCACCTCGAGGATATAGCCTTTGTTGAATCCGGTAGCGATGCTCATAACATCGATCTCGGCGATGCCCATTCGAATCCCCCTGTGGGTAGATACTGGCTCATGGCCCAGCCGTACAGGTTGTTGGCGTCGAGGTAGAGAATATGATTGGTTGGCTTGCTTGGGTCGTAGCCCTTCGCATTATTGATTATTGGCTTTAGCGTATCGTTTGGTAGCCATGGAAATCCCACCGCATAAGCCTTTCTCAATGAATAGGTGCATGTAAAATCGGTGAGCAATTCCAACTTAACTCCGGTCTTTTCAGCAATGCATCCCACGACAGACCTGGGCTGGTGTAGTACCATCGCGGGTCGAGTTGGTACTGCTTAAAACCGTCCTCCTAAGCGTCTTGAACACGCCGTCGGCTAGCAGGAGTACATCTGTCCTCAAGTACAGGTCGTGGTAGTCACCCAGATTCTTACAGCCCAGTTTATTCCATACGTTAATCGGCGTCGCGAGTAATCGTCTTGGGTGATTGCAGAGTCGGTCAGGTTGCTGTAAAATCGGTTGATGGGGGTAGTCGGTCTCGGCGAACTTGGCCCAGCCATCCATGTACTCGTGAGGGTACACACCCTTCCTCATCAGCAGGGGTCGAGTCTCAGCGCCGGTGTATCGGTCGGTGATGGGAAGGCATCGTTGGCCTTGACCAGACTGTCGAAAGTGGCGACAGGAGGAACTGAACCGAGTCGATGAACCTCAGGCCATTCAAGCTGAAGGAGATGTATCTCTCCATGTTGTTGGGGATGCACGCCAGGTTGCCGTCGACTTTCGCGATGGCCTGCATGATCAAGTGAGAGTACCCTCTCAAGTTGTGGAAGACCACGGGGATGTTTATTGTCTTGGGGGTGATTCTAAGCTTGAGGTTACACGCGCTATGTGGCAGGGCCTCTATACTTACCCGGTGGCGTGGCAGTGATCTCTCACCGAATCACCGTTCAGTGGGCTATCACACACATGGCAGTGAGTGCTGCAGCCGTAAGATAGCCGGTCGGTTTGAGTCGTACGCATGGGAGCGACTGTGTATAGTGCATTCCTAATACTTTTCTCTTCCTCCTGCAAACACGTTAGAAACTTTTCAGCCGCGTCGGGACCCCTGTACACTACGGGAGCTTTCGCTTCCCCATCACATCAGACGACCACGTATCCAAACCCACAGGCCTCGTGCTCCTGTGTTTTTGTGTGTTGGGGGTACCCCCAGCCTCAACGGGTTTGACCAAGGCTTCGAAGTCGGCGTAGATGACATAAGGCACGGACATCTGATTCTTGTGGTTGTCGAATTTTAAGATATTGTCACCTTCCTTAGGCATGTCGACTCGTATGTCCGTCTGCCCCACACCTTGGCAACCCCCCTGTGTGATTCCAGCAGGTCGGGTCAGCTGAAACCGTGCAGGCATCGTACACAAAAGTGTTTTTTCCCCAACGTGTTTCGACTGGTCGTGCAACAGCCTGCTGAGGTGTTTTATCCACGTGTAGTGATACTTATCACCTTGCTGGATCATGAATATATTGATAACGCGGTGGGGCCCCCCCAACATTGGACTGACCCTGTGCACTATTTTTGTGTTACCTTCGTGCCCTAAGACGCTTATGGCTATATCATTCTGTTTTTCTATTTTAGTGATCTGAAATATGGGGGTGGGTTCGGTTATACCATCCCAGTTGAGCCCATCGTCTTGGGGATAACTAGAAGGCCTGTTCGAATTAGTGTCAGCTGGAAACAAGGCTGACCTGATAGTTAACCTCATGCAATCCGGAACCCATGTGTGTATAGTTCGTCCTAGGTATTCTCGTATCTGCTGAAAATTGATATCGATTGACTCGTCTATAGTCTCGGTATGAGTCACGACTTCTTGTCTACCTCGGACGTAAGGCTGAACGTACTCAATGACCCCTCATTGGGGGTTCCCCCCTGCTGTTTATCGAGTGACATTTTCACTGTGATTTGAAACTTTATACTTCCCAAATCGTTTAGTTCCTCATTGACTTTATCAGCGACTAGAGGCATGATATCGGCGATGTCTATGTTCCTATCAACATGCATGCGCCAGCCTCTCAAATAGTTACCTACAGCACGCTCAGTGCGCATGAACTCTAGGTCAATAGCTCTATTCTGCCGTAATAGTTCTACAAGCTGTGGCTTCCTCATACGGGAATAACCTATTAACCCCATCTCGCGGGCCTCCTGTTTGAGTTGTTTCACAGTGTGGGGCTTTGCTACGGGGTCGTTTAATAATGCGACTAACACGGCTCTCCCCAGGCGGGAATAACCCATCAACCCTAGCTCTTTAGCTCGGAGTTTTAGTTGTTTTACCGTGGGAGGGTTGTATGTTAAGTAATCTCAACAGCTGAAGTTTCCTCATTCAGGGAGAGTAACCAATTACACCTCGTTGCCTTCGCAGAAATCTGCTTGAGCTCTCGAGTAGTAGACATTGTGTACACACATAACTAGGTCAATCTCTAAGTGGGCGCCGGAAGGTAACTAAAAAATTTGTTCACCAATAATAACCGTATTGATTATTGGCTCAGTGTCAAATA